GCACCACAATGTTCATAGCAGCAAAATTTACAATAGCCAAGAGTTGGAAGCAACCTAGATGTCCATCAGTAAATGAATGGATCAAAAAATCGTGGTACATATACACAATGGAATTCTATGCAGCAGAGAGAAAGAAGGAGCTACTACCCTTTGCAACAGCATGGATGGAACTGGAAAGCATTATGCTGAGTGAAATAGGCCAGGTGTTGAAAGACAAATACCATATGATCTCACCTTTAACAGGAGGCTAAACAACAAAACAAACAAGCAAGCAAAATAAAAACAAAGGCACTGAACTAGAGAACAAGGGAACAGTGACCAGAGGGGAGAGGGAAGGGAATTTAAGGGGGAAAAGGGGAGGGATTTGGAGGAACAAGTATGAAAGACACAGGGATGAGGACTAGGGGGGGCGAGGAAATGGGAGGGAGGTGGGGAGCACCGGGCGGGCGGGGGGGCTGGGATGGGAGAAATAGACAAAAAACTGTACTTGAAAAATAACTAAATAAAAAAAGTGATGAACAAAGAAAGAAATAACATGAGATAATGGAAAAGTAATATTTGGTAAGGAGATTTGTGCAATTTTTTAGAATTAAGAAAGATGCCCATTCCCATATCCAAGAAGCAAAGCAAATCCTAAGAAGGGTAAAGAGAAATCCACAGCTAGGATCATTGTAATAACATCGAGGAACACCGAAGACAAAGATTAGACTGTTAACACAGCCACAGACAAAAGATTGAGTAACTAAAAAGTAACAACAATTGACTGAGAGATACTTCTTAACCACTACAGAATTAATAAGACTGTGGGAAAATATCTCTAAAATATTGCAATAAAATAGCCATCAACCTCAAATTTTTACTCAGCAAAACTGCTATAAAAAGAAGTGCAAAATAACATTTTCAGACACACAAATCCTGAGGGACTTGTATTAAGGAACATCTAGAACTTACTGCTTAAGGATGGAGGAAAGTGTGAAAAAGCATGTTTTATCAAAAGTACTAAGTTTTCTATAATAATATTGTTTCACTTATTTTTGTAAGGAAAAAAAAACCTGGTCTAAATTATTGGGAGTTGAAAGTGATGAAACTTGTATTAACCAGGCTTCTTTCAAATAATTCTCTCTATGATTGTGCTGGTTCATGGGTAGCATTCTTATTTACGTCAGATGCTAAACAATTGATCAGGAATCTGAAATTACTAAACTTTTCATTATAGGGATAGTGCTGCCATGAGTCACTTAAAGTATGCGGCCTGTGGTCCATATAATTCCAGTCTAAATAATCAGAATAAAACTCAATATCTCAAAGTATGCAATATAAAAATGCAAGTAAATATGTTTAGAAATTGTTCGACTTTTTATTCTGATGTTTAATACTGTAGCAAAATAATAATATAATATCACTTTCAGTTAAGACTACAATGATGGCAACATTTCTTCCTTCAGTGAAACTAGTTACAGTCCTGGCCAGGTGGTTTTGTTGGTTGGAGCACTGTCCTCTACCCGAAAAGCTTGAGGGTTCAATTCTTGTTCAGGGCACATACCTAGGCTGCAGGTTTGATTCCGGTCGGGGTGTGTGTGTATAGGAGGCAAATTGTCTATGTTTCTCTCATATTGATTTTTCTTTCTCTCTCTTCCTGCTTTCTCTCTCTCTAAAATCAATAACAAAAAATATCCTAAAAAATAAAATTAGTTTTCATTTCCAGAAGGGAGAAAGGGAAAAAGATTGGAGAAGCTGTGTGGTTCTAGAAAAACAAAAAGAGATACTGACGTTTACAAACTGCATGGTCTTGGGTAAGTTCAAGAACCATTTGCAGACTGTACTTAAAAAAAATTCTGCAGAATGAGAAAATTTGACAATATCACTTCAAAATTTTTCTTTTGAATCTAGGTACGGTTATTAAGATATCATAGGCTAGAAAATCTAGGTGAGTTTGTGTTCCAATTTTACCCATGAGGTCTGGAAGCAGGGTAGGGAAGCCAGAGGTATGAAAAAGGTGTGATGAAGGAAAGAGATGACCAAGTTTGAAAAAGGATCGCTAACCCTAAAACAGGAAGACAACTATAGGGAAAGGTCATGCTCCATCTTACTTCTCTACCCAGTAATACAATATGCATTTGCATATTCAATAGGAACAAAAAATTCTAACACTTTAAATCATGAGAGAAAGTGGAATGTATGCAACACTAGAACACATGAATCGGGACATAGTTTATTTTATCCAAACAGAAACATTGATAAATAGTGAGTGGCCTTTCATGGACCATCTGCTGCTGCCATGTCTGATTATACTCCCTGTCTTGCTCTCTTCCCAGAAAACTTTACTTCTTTGTCTTTGAGATTATTTTAGGAACAAATGCACAATTCTCATGTTTCTGTGGAGTGACTAATGTTTACATTTCACCGAGAGACTATCCTTGGTAACAAATCCATAGTGGTCCTATTTTTGTGATTTAGAACAGATTCTGAATGAGGAGATTTGGATGAGGAGAAGCCATATTACTTAGTCATAGTAAGGTTATGATATGATGTTCCTAAACACAGCAAATTATTTGAGAAGTGAAAGAAGTTTTCACATGTTTGAAAGAACAACCAGGAGCAATTCCCTTTTTAGTTAAAGAAGATGCAACTACATCAGTTGATGGCCTACCATGTGAGAGTGGAAGTGACAACAGGCTCATGCTCTGGATAACAACCTCCGAGATAGGTCCTGTATTTAATGAGAAACACTCAGTGATGTAGACTCTCTTCAGGAAAAAGGCAATAGTTGTTTTGCCTCTAATCCATTTCCCAATTACGGCCTTAAGAGAATGCCCAGAAAAGACCTAATTAAAGTAGAAAACAGAAGCCTTGGCTACTCTCCCAATCAGATACCAAGGAATCTTAGCACCTTGGTCCAGCTTGAGCTTCTGGTCTTCTACAAGGTTCTAAGTGTTCTTCTCCAAATGATTCTAAACTTTCAATCACATTTCAACAATTTAGGACAGTGTGTATCCTATCATGGTCCTGATTAGGATGTTAATTATAATAGCAATCACCAACAGAAAGCTGGACCTCTGTTAGGTAGCTTATACATAATATTTCTTTTGATCATTATTAGTCAATAATGTTTATCTCATGCTCCTCACCCAGAGGGCACTGACCATTCCTGTCACTATGACGAGCCTGGGAGACAAAACAGTTTCATCTTTGAAACTGAGCCTCCCTGATTTTGAACTTGCTCCAGCTTTGCCTTCTCAGTTGGTTCTGTGCCTGGTGAGGGTGAAGGCAGTGTCACTATTTATCAATGGATCCATGAAACTCACACAGAGGCTGTGCAGTCATGGAAGTAGCTGCTCAAGATCTCCCTTCAAGAGAGAACCTACTACTGGAATGAAGCTAGCTGACATCTTCCAGCTCCTACACTTTTGAGATTTACTGCAGTATAATATTCATGACAAGGCCACTTTCTCCCTAAGCTGCTTGCAGACTGTGAGTGAGCAAGGGAAAAGGGATCCTCCAGCCAAACACTCCTGCCTCATGCATGGCTCCTCTAATGGTTAATCCTTGCTCTGTCTGGACCTCCCCAGACTTTCTGACTGCAGTGAAGACTAATTCTCCCACCTACCACCTATCCCTACTCTCAGTGCTACTCTGTATCCTTCAAACGAGTTCCCCCCTATTAACTCCCTGTGCTTCTACTTCATCTTGACATCTTCCTCCTGAAAGACCCAAGTTGACATCATCAATCTTATTATTCTCTCCATTTCACAGTGGTTGGAGTGGGGTTCCAAAAAGAAAGAAGAAGCCACAGGTGTGTACCCTCCTTTTAATGAAAAGATTTTATTTATTTACTTTTAGAGACAGGAGAAGAAAGGGAGAAAGCAAGGGCGAGAAATTAAAGTGAAAGAAATATTGATTGGTTGCCTCTTGTGCCTGCCCAAACCAGGGGACTAAACCTGTAACCCAGGCATATGCTCTGACCGGGAATCAAACCTTTTGCTTTGCAGAATAAGGCCAACCAACTGAACCACACCAGCCAGGGCAGTGTGTTCCCCTTTTAGAAGTTTATGCATACTCTTAGGGAAGAAAATCCCTTAAAATGCCTCATTTACATTTAAAAGAAAAATTTTGAATATCTTGAAAGTGCTACTAGCATTGTAAAAGAGAGACAGTCCTTTCTTCATAAAACTGAGCCCAATTGAACCTGCCTATTCAACACATAAATGCAAAGATACTTTGGCTTGTAGAAAATGGAAGAAAACTCCAAAAACAGAAAGTTCGGGCATCCATTGCTGAGGTCTAATTCTGGACCCAGAATGTGTTCGTGAGAAAAACAAGTGAATCCAATAAGCCAACAGCCACAGTGCTGCTCATCATATACAGTGATCCCTCACTTATCATGGGAGGCAAGTTCCAGAGACGCCCATGATAGGTGAAAATCCTTGAAGTAGCGGCATTATATTTATTTTATTATTTATATATATTTAAGGCTTTATAAAGCCCTTCCACACTCTTATAAGCACTTTATATGCTCTTAAACACTTTCTACACTCTTAAACCTACGTACTTTTAACAACGTATAAAATTCTACATGGGTACTCACAAGTGAAGCATACAGTTGTCCCTCGGTATATCTCAGTTCACTATATTGTGGGCTTCCAAGACGCAGTGAAGCCACAATAAGTGAACTGCAATATATAGCAAGGGACGACTGTATAGATCTCAACCTTCAGTCTCTGATGATTTCACAACACTACTCACGACTCCACACTTGTCAGAAATGGAATATATATTGCACTGATAAAATTATTTAAAAAATTTGGATTTACTTTACCAAAATAAACTTGAATTTGGCTTTTTCATTCTCGCATTCAGGGGATAGAAAATGTATTAGGAAAAGAAAAATAATTATTCTGTGGTTTTCGAACCCTTAGAAATATCTGAATGTGAGAACATATCAAAGAGAATTTTTTTCCTGGCATACTTTATTTTGAAAAAGGAGAAACAACATGACTTACCCTCGCTAGAATCTTTGAAAGTTTCTGGCTTCTTTGCTTTGCTCTTCTTGTGGGGTGGAGAGAGGCCTTTTGGCTCTAACACCTCTGGAAGCACAAAGATTTAAAATATTCTTATTTAAATATTGACCAGTGGGGTTCAACATTATGTTCAAGTTTAAAGATGTTTTCCTCTTTGTAAATACACACATACAGTGAGGCCTCATTTTTGATTTATCTGTCATTGGTGGTTGAGCTAAATTTTTGTCAATTCTCCTGTGAAAATAAATAAACTTGAAGGTCAAGCTTAAATATATTTTTGTTGTTGACAGCATTAATGATTTACACAAATGTGAAATCTTAAGTGCTTTTTTAAAAAGCAACCTCAAATTATTTCTTTCTTCAGGAGAACTTGATTTAAAACTTTATAGATTAATTGAAAGTTGTCAATGTGCAATTTGACCCTAAAAATTAATTTGTTCCTGTAAACCACTTCTTTCCATAGTATAGGCATATCACAGGCACATTAGTATGTCTACCTACAAATCAATTAAAAACCTGAGATGTACTTAATATTTCTCTTCATTTAATTTTTCAGTAAAGCAACCGTAAGTTCTACCATAACTCCTATTAGCTCTGCTCCAAAATATATCTGATATTCATCCACTGTGCTCATCTTTTGTACTCATCATTCTAGTCTAAATCAGTAATATCTCTTACCTAGGTTAATCCAATAACCTTCTGAATTCTAATTCTAGCTTCCTAATCTTTCTATTATTCTCCATGAAGTAGCCAGAGAGTTATCTTTAAAACATAAACCAGGTCATGTTGCTCACCTGTTAAGGAACAATTGTTCTTAAAATAAGATCCAAACCTTACTGATCTTAGAATAAGATTCCATGATCCAGGATAACCTGCCATTTGGGATTCACCTAGAGCTCTAGCTTCATCTCCCTCTTGCTCTTTGACTTCAGATTTATTGGCTCCCTTTGTTTTCTCCAATCACTATTAGGCTGGTTCCTACCTCAGGAACTTGGCACTATCTGCTCTTCTCTACTCCCCCTACACATACACCCACAAACATTAATATTTGGTTGGCCAAAAAGTCCATAAGTTTTCCCCTTGTAAAATAAAAGATGCATATTTAATTTTCACCATCAACTTTATGGTTTTAGATATTTTGATTTTGTCAGCTATCTCCCATGTGGGATAACATTGATTATTCTCAATTAATATCTTGATTTGGTCCAACTTGAACTGGTCTACCCAACCGTGGAACATCATCCAGCGAGAAATCTCCAGCATGGTGCTAGAGCATGGTGCTCTAGCAAAATTTTGCTATCCATTTTTGACATGTTTTGTTGCTGCGGGAAGCTTTGGAAAACCTTTGTTCACCCAAACCCCAGTCGCCCTGGGAGAGCCAGAAGGCTGTCTAGGAAAAGCAAACAACAGGATGTTCTCAAGGACTAAGATTAGCTCCCCGCCGTCAGAACTAATTTCCGCATTTAGCCTTTGTACTCTGCTTCTGCGACGTAGGTATAGGGAGCCCTACAGCTAGAACTAACTTCTACATTCCGCTTCTGCATCCTGCTTTGTTACCTAGACAGAAAGACCCTATAGACTATATAAACCCCAAGAATCCTTTGTTCGGGGCTCAGAATTTGAGACTGACTCCTCTGAGCCCCAGCACGTAATAAACTTCTGGTATTTTCCACTATCTCCTCTTGGTGTGAGTTTCTTCCCACAACATTGTCAATCACAGCACCTTCTCCACACACTACACAAATCTTTTTTTTCACATTTCAGTTGTGTCTTTTACCTTTCATAATAAAACAGAATGTGCTGAAAATGTTGCATATTTTCTTCCATCTTTAATATTAAAATGGCTACACAAAAACTCACCAATTTTGATGTTTTTTAATGTACGCTGATATGATAGCTGTCACAATACAATCTAATCAAATTGTTTTGAATGAAGTTAAAGAAAACTAAGCACTACTAGAGCCATCTTATGGAGAAAAAACAAACAAACAAACAAACTTTTTGGCCAACCCAATATGTCTACCTTCTTTTTACTTTTTAATCTCAGATCAAATTCAGATCCCAAGAAAGCCCTTCACCAACCACACAATGTGGAGAATCCCTGTAAACATATCATGTGGTATATTTGAAATTATCTTGTCCCCTTGTTTATTTCTTTGTTATGTGTCACTCTCCTCTACCCCACACCCAAGAATGTAAATCCCATGAGAAAAGAACATTTAACTTTTCTAATCTTTCTTGTCTTCCTGGTGCCTACCAGTGTCTTGAGAATTTCATTTCTAATTCTGTTTTATTTTCCTTTAACCCAGACCTTTCTTTAAGGCCAAGATACAATGGTGCCCTTGCCTAATTCTCATTCACTTAGCAGTTGTCATCTTATGCCAGGATTCTAAAATGTTCTTTTTCAATTTATTAAAAGAGAAATAGGACAAAAATGTATTTGCTAGATGTGCTATTAAAACATTGACATTATGGACTACAAAGGTTTTTGTTCACTAGATTAGGTTTTCTGTGGTTGCAAGACAGTCACATCTTAGGTCATTACCACAGTCAGGATAAAATAGGTTGCTAATGACTATATCAGCACCTCTCTCAAACTTCTGTTACCCAGTGTGAGACTGATGATCACTCTTCAGAATGGGTTCAGCAACAAGAATTCAGGTGCTTGGAACAGCCCACTGAGCAAAGATACTGGCCTCAAAGGGATTGGTAAAATGGACAAAGCAACACTGAAATCTCCCTGGGAGTAGACTAACCTTTCTTTGCCCTGGAAATGCATGGGCCAAGAGGAGTATTTTCAATGCTGGGAATTTAACTCCAAACCAGTATTTCACGAAAATGCATGTTTCAGAATTAAATTTTTAAATCTTAATTTCCCACCTGAATGGGAATTCTTGGAGAATAAAAGATTTAAGAAGATGTGGGCATCTGTTTGCCCACACTTTGAGATTTTAAGTACCCCAAAAGTACTAGTACTTCAATTTTGAAAAAAAAATTGTAGGCCATTTCTTGAGTAGTCTGTGAGTACCCATACATATCAACTAGGAACAGTCTTCTATGACAAAAGTATAGTATCATTTCACAACATCCATGGAGTCCCTGAAATGAAAGTCACTGATGCATACAGCCTCTATACTCAGGTGTATACATGTGGCTCAGCAGAAACAATTCTCCCTCTTGGCCTGGGAAGCTGAAGAAACATTTCTGAAAAGCATTCCATGCTTCTCCTTCAGTGTATCACATTACCTACTTTACCTCTGTTTCTGGTAGAGGGCAGAAACCTGGAATTTTGCCATGAGCATGGTTTTGCCACCTGAGAAACTCAACTCTGCTCCTTGCTTTCCTGTGGCTGACATGGAATAGGTAGGTGCTGATTTTCTGTCCCTGCTGGCTCAGTTTGGGGCCCATTTCAACAGTAGATGGCCTTGCCGTAAATGGATGGATGTAGGAATACATTAACTATGCTAGGATTAAAGAGGTGTTAAAGGATTTAAAAAATCATAGGGATTTAAGCCAACCTGTTTCTACCACCTCACATGAGGCAGAGCCTCATTTTGAGGCTGACCTAACCTGACACCATCTGAGATGTTTCTACCTCAACTTACTATTAGAGTTTGAAGACAAGAACACAAACTTAAGAACATGAGTCTTGAGATCAGGTACACCTAAATTCTGTCTCTGATGTTTAAGCAAGCAGCTAATTACTCCTAAACTTCAGTAATAACAGTCCCTGCAACCATGAGTTTTTGCATATCTTAAACGGGTTCATGTGTGTTGAGTGATTGGCACAAGCTACATACTCAATTAATATATGATTCAACAGAGGTATGCTGGGGCTGACTTGAGCCAACTTGGACCAACTGATTGTACCTCTCTCTCCTCAACTCTGACATTCATTGACCTCATGCTTGGTAGGCTGAGCAATAACCATGGTAGCTGTATTCACACCAAAAAAATCTGCAAACTTTTCACAGTGGGACTTCTACCCAGGGAGTCAGTTTACAAGTACCTCACTGGTTTTTGGTATTAAAATTATTACTCACTATCATTCACTAGTATTCATTGCCTGGTTGATTCACACAAGTAGCCCTTCAGTTATGCAATTCCATTCTTAAATATTTCTCCAACATTTCCACTTGTATGAGAAGAGGTGATGCATGGTAGAGGGGAGGCAGCAGTTAATGGTCTTGGGAGGTGGTTCAGACCCATCTGGGAGACCAGCATGCCCAAATGTGAGATCTGAACTGAAGCCAGTCTGTTTACCAATGTCTGTCAAGGCCAGCAGGCACACCATGGAACCATCCAGCACAGAAATCCCCCATGATTTCAGCAATCAAATTAGGAAATGGAGAGCAGCTTCTGGAGCCCATTCTGCCTGTATCTTTGTGCCACTGAGTGACAGCACTCTTGGGCCACTGAGTATGACTTGAACAGCTGCAACCAACTATTAGAGACAAACCCCCCAGGAAACCTGGTGGGACTAAAATCAGAAATGATGATCCAATTAAGGTCTCTGAGCCTCAAATGCTGACTCCAACCCCATGGGCTCTGCATTAGCATTAGTAATAAGTTCCTTAAAATCACTCAGCAGTTTGGTAGCTAGCCGCATGTCATTAAGAGGCCAACTCCCTTTGCCTAAAAAAGTGTACTTATGGCACTTAGGCAAATGATCCTTAGCAAGTAAGATCTTTATGCTGGCTAACTGAAAGGGTAGTACTTCCCAAGGTTGAAGGAATTTCTAAGGATACATTATGTGAACAGGCTAAATGAGAATAGCAAACATTAGCATTAAATTCATGAAATGTAATCCAAAACAAGGTGACCATTTAAAGCCTTTTTTCAACATATGGTTCTTTTAAATAATGAGACATTCTACATAAGTATAGGAATTGACCATTTAATTGAAATTTTATGTTGGGCTTCAAGTTTTACAAAAGGCAAGCAGAGCCCTGTCTTAGCTTGGATTGTCTCAGAAGTAGACACTGAGTCAAAGGTTTTAATGTTAGTACTTAATTTGAGAAATTATCCCAGGAAACACCACAGGAGAGTAGGAAAGTGAGACAGAAGAGAGAAGGCAGCCAATGGTGGGTGTGCTAATGAGCAAGTTCCACAGTAGAAAATCAGGGCTCAATTCTCCTGGGGACCTCTGGGCAATGCAATACAATCTTACTGCCCAACACCATATATTGCCCATGAGTACTTGATATGCGGCTACTCTGAACTAAGTTATGAATGTAAAATGCAAACAAATTTCAAAAACATAGTATGAAGAAAAGTAAAATATCTGACTAATAATTGTTTTATTGTTTATATGTTGAAATGGTAATATATTTAATATATTACATAGTATATTATTAAAATTAAATCCACCTCTACTGAACAATGCTGAAGTAGAACATGACTCTGATGTATCCTGCAGGGGTACTGATCAGCTTGAGTCCATCCTTGGTTGAGGGCTGCTCCAGAAAAATTAATTTTCTGATATTTTGCATTTACTTTTATGACCAGAGAAAAACATCAGCTGAGAGTCACAAGAACTTTCTTTAGAAAGTTGCTCATGCTGTAAAGTGACGGTGACTTAACGAAGAGATATAGATAGGAAATTGACAGCTATTGCTACCATCCCACTTGCGTCTCCTTCATTTCTGCTCCTGAGTCTAGATTCCCCCTGCTTCTTATGCCCTCTGATCTATTGCCCTGGGGAGACCAAGTGATTTTTAGGAACCAGACACGTTTGGGGTGAGGAAGAGTAGATAGAAGTTACCATCATTGTTCTAATGAACTGTTATGAAGAAAGGAACTAGTGTTATTTCCCCACAAAAATAATGAGAGGTCAGAAGAGGGAGAGAAATTTAATTTCACAAGGAGAAGGAAAATTTTAACCAAACTTTATCTAATGAAATTGGTTGTCTCTGAATTTAAAGAGTTCCCTGTAAATGGAGCTGCTCAAACTAAGGTTGTCATTGGTTTGTAAGGAGTTCTGGAATTAATTAGGAGGTTACACAAAATTAAGACTTCTACAATATCTATTTTAATTTTGCAACCTGTCCCTATTTCATACCTAGAGTAGTGCAGTGAAGGAGACCATTTTGCCTGGTGTGGGCCCAGCTCCCAGTAGAAAGCAAGGTCCGATGCATAGGACCCATGCCCACAGATAGGTTCTCCCATGGGGAATCAGGCCTGTAATGTACCTAGGGCACTTTGAGACTTGCTTTTGCTAAAACTCCCTCACCCTAAATTGAGGCAGAAAACATTTACTGTAAAGTAACTTCCTGAAATCCATGCTAAACCTTCCAAGGATGACTAACTGGTTCAACCACTTTTCCCTTTTCGTTTGCAAATATCTTTTTCTGTGATGTGATTAGCAGCATCGGCTCTTTTCTGTAAGAGGTAACCACCTAAAGGGAACCTGTGCATAGTAATTGAGGACCATCATGTAATGTGCTGAGAAAAAAGAAATAAAGGCCTGTCATGGTGGAGGCTGTGGCTTTTTCTTCCCTTGAGAGAAAAGCCATGTTGCCTCTTTTCCTCCACAGGACTCAGTAGTCTGTGTGAATTTCTTGTGCCTCATCCACATTGTGGCAGACCCCACAAGCCAGGGTCTCCATCAGTGTAGTCACCAAAATAGGGAACTTATACCATAGAATTAAGTCCTATATCCTTCCAATATCTGTTAGAATGGCAGAGAAAAAAGTAATAATTTATTGAGTGTTAAGGTCCAAGAAACATTTCAGGTTTAGTATAATTTAATCCCGTAAACAGCACTGTACGGTGAACTATTGCCCCCAGAAGTGTAAACGAAGGTTATGGAGAAAAGACTTTTGCCCCAAATCAAAAAGTGATGGAACTAGAATTGAATTCAGGTCTATTGACCCATGCATTCATTATCAAGCACAGTTGGAGCGGCTACTGAAGTCCAGAGTCTACAATTTTAGGCCCTAGATTTCTCTTAACAAACACTAGTTTTTCTTGAGGAGTTGGCAGGCATATTAATTTTTGATGAGAGCAACATATCATATGTACAATGTATATTTTCCAAAAATGGCCCCAGCAATATTTCAGGTCCTACAGGCTTTGCACAAGAACACTGACTCTATTTTCTCTTCCTCTGAGCCTGAGTCAGCCTGACTGTTCTGAAGAAAAATGTTCAATAGAAGTGATGCTATGGTAGCCCTGAGGCTGAGTCCTGTAAAGGGCAAAGCTCCCTCTGGCTTGCTCACTCTCTCTAGAGAAACCACTTTGGAATCTGGCAGCCATGCTGTGAAGAACAACAGACCACATCAAGAAGCCATGTGTAAGTGTTTCAGAAAATTACCGGGCTAAGGTTTCAGCTGATTGCCAATATCAGTCACCAACCAGACATGTGTGTGAGGGTCTCTTCAGGTAATTGCAGCCCCAAGTTCAGTTTTCCTGCCAAGGTCTCAGGCCTTATGAAGCAGGTTTACCAAGTCACTCTTACCATGTTTTGTCTGAATTCTTGACCCACAGAATATATGAACACAGTAAGTAGGTATTTTAGCCACTAAGTTGTAGTAGTGATTTGTTACACAATTCTATTAACTACAATATCATGTTTCATTTTACCTTAGCTATCAGGAAGCTCAAAATCATGTTTAGCACTTAAATACAGTAAATGTATTAGCCATAAGAGTTGGGAAAACTACTTTATGTTAGGATGTTGAACATATATTTCTACTTTATTAACCTTATTTTGTCTTTTCTTTAAAAAGTGAAGTGTACATAATCAACAGAATGATCTTGCCCTTCCTGTGAGAATAAAATAATTAATTTAATACCTGAATCTTCTTTCATGTCAACATCTTTTTCTTCATTATCACCTATTAAAAAAAAACCAGAAAAAAGAACAATTCATATGAAAGTTAGACACATCTGAATTCTCCAATTTGATTAATAAAAAAAGAAAATATCAGTGCAAATGAGAGTGATAAGTGGTGCATTTTTACTGTCTTATATTATCATGCTAAATTAGGAAGAAAGTATACACATTACGTAACAGGATGGAGGGAAGGGGGGACCCCAAATGAGGATTTGGAATGGAGTCCAGGACTCAGGGTATACAGGAAATATTAGAAAGATATATAGTATGTGCTCACCCCTTCCTCCCACAGGTGTGAGTTGGGGGGAAGGGAACATGCAGAGCTGTTTTGCATAGCAACAGCTTTGCAGCTAACCTCTGGCATGGTCATTTAACATATCTATAACCTTTAACTGGTTTCATAGATATGTTAAATAGCTGTGGCCATGCTCTGAGCCAGGGGGAGGGAAGGGACTTCCACCCAGGATGTAACTGGGGGCAGGTCCCCCGGGTTACAGAACTTGCATGAGAGCTTGGAGATGATTGGCTCCACGCCATGGGGCTACACCTGCCCAGACTCATGATGGCAGCCTAGTAAAGCTGGAACGATACAGGAGTGCTGGCAAGTGTAGCTGATTGTGGGAGGAGTCGGAAATGGGGCTGCAGAGGAAGGTTGGCATGGGGATTTAAACCCTAACTCAGCAGCCATGAGGGGAGAGGACCACATGGCTGTGGCAGTGCAGAGAGAGCCATGTGCTTCTGGCAGAGTGGAGACCCCTGCAGCTTGGGCAGAGAGAATCATCATGTGGCTTTAGCAGAGAACCACCACTCAGCTTTGGCAGAGTGGTGACCACCCCCTCCCCAAGTTTTGCCTAAAAGAACCTTGTGGTTTTGGCCAGAGTGGGAACCCCTGCAGCTTTGGTAGAAGAGGTCCATGAGGCTTTGGGGTGCTCCTGTTGGCCACATGGCCTGGGAAGCAGGAGAGACTTTGCCTGGAATAAGAGTGAAAGAACTATTGCCAGTAGGCCATGAGAAGGTGCCACATGGCTTTGGATTAATTAAAGATCCTGCCTGGATGGCGACATAGCCAGTGGTGCCAGCACCATGCATCACAGACACATACTTCTTTTACTGAGTTATGGCACCCCAAATTAGGGCAGGGGGAGAAGGAAGCATTGTGGGTGTCTGTGGGTATCCAAAAAAAACTTTGATACTTTAAAGAAGACATTAGGTCACTACTTTAAGTCCGTATAGCTTTAAATAAACATTTCCTTTCCTTTTCACAAATCTCTGACATTGAGAGATGTCTTTCCTAAGGTGGCGAACAGTCAAACCTGTGTGTGTTTATTCAGTAACAATTAGGGTACAATTTAACACCTAGGGTTTATATTTCTTTTAAAGAGTATTATGTATTGTAACAAGCTATATATGCAATAATTTGTTTTTGTTACAAAAGTTATTCATGGTCACTTAAGTCATTTCAATTCTTAAAAAATAAAAGCTACAGATTTTGAATGCAACATTTTCTGCATTTATTAAACATAGGCATTCTCACTTTAAGTGTCTGAGAAACGTGGGAATCACCATTGGTTGTAGATCAACACAGTGACCAATCTGTGCACTATGCAATGAGAAGTCCCAGTTTGCAAATTCCAACCTTTAACCATGTGCTTTCATCTGCCCCAGTTGTACAACTCCTATTTAATTCCTGTCATCTCCTCTCCCAGTTCAGCTTCCTTTACCTGGACAAAGACATGTGCTTCTTCTGTACTCTGGATGACATATTTGCTATTTTGAAATTTTGTGTTGTCATTTCTTATTCTTAAATATTCCTCACATTCAGACAGTGTCGAATCCTGTCTGTTTCCATAGTTGTTCCTCCCTACTTACATATTGCAACCCAAATTCAGACCACAGTGCCACTTGCCTTACCCATGTCCTTTCTTCTTCCAAATCCTGACTCTAATTCCTTTTATATGTAGCTTCCAAATCAATCTTAAAATACAACTCTGATACGATTCACAACTGATCAGTAACTCCTTTCTGTCTAATGAGAAAAGTCTAGGTTCCCTGGGGTAACATTCAAGACCAAGATATCTGGTTCCAACCACTTCTATCAATTTCACCACAGCTGTTCCACTCGTGCTATCACCCACATGCATGACAACACTTGACTCTTCTCTGATTACTCAAGGGCTTCTTCAGCTCCCTTTACCTGTCTCAGTCTTGGAAGCAAGGCCCTGCTCCATCTATTCACACTCATCTTCAAGGCCAAGCTGAGATGCCATAATATCTACTCAACCAAAGTTTGAATGAGCAATGTTCTCTTCAGCATATCTTATTTTTACTGCCCCAGTATATCAACTTTAAGGACCTTTGCATACTGGCTTTTCTATCCACCCATTCACTAGGTACGTGATCTTAGAGAAGTTGACAAACCTTACTGAGTTTCAGGTTCATAAATCATCAAGTGGGATAATAATACTGCCTCCTTTAAGGAGTTTTAAGATTCAAAGTGATAATGTCACATAAAGCACTAGGACATGGGCAAATGATAAATATTAACTACTATTACCATTAAATTCTACAGTCACTTATTAACATATGTGTCTTCCTTATGTTCATCTCTAGATCATAACTTTCTCAAAGCAAAAGACTATGTCTTATGTTCTTCTGTAGTCTGTGGTAGCTAATATGATTCATTCTATACACTAGAATCAATAAAGAAGCTTCCACTGCACTAAATTTCTGTTATTTCCTATGTCACTCCTACATAGTAATATACCATGTATCTAGGTGATTATTTGAAAACCATGAGGACTCAGTAAAGATTTGCAACTTCCTTCTGGATGTGTTTTATAATATAGTCATATTTTAGCCAAACTTATTCAATATGACACTCTTTTGAGTGTTAATTATAAATAAAGATTAGAGGTATAGTAGTCAGTAGAAATAGAAAATGCATTTAATTTGAGATTTAAGAAGGTAATTATTTTTTTAAAAATTTTACTTATTTATCTTTAGAGGGGAAGGGAAGGAGAGAGGGAGAGAAATATCAATGTATGGTAGCCTCTCGTGTGTCCCCTGACTGGGAATCGAACTGCGATCGTGTGGTTCTCAGGCCCCCTGGGCCTAAGAAGGTAATTCTTAATGGTCATCATTACCTTTTAAAGAAATAATTTTTCTTACATTCAAATATGTTAGAAATATTAGTGATTTTTTATATAATTTCTTTCAGTCTTCTTACAAATGTAATTTTGGGAGAAAGAATACCTATTTCTAAGAAATATAATTTTCTGACTAACTGATTATCAAAATGTTGCAAAGTAAACTCTTCACAGATTTTTCCCTGAACTTAATATATTTAAACAGAATTGTATTGTCAGAACCATTTAAAATCCCTATGATGATAGAATCTGGAATCTCAGAGTAGGGTGGAAAAGAGTCTCTACAGTTTTTCAGAAAAAATAAAGGAAGAGTCCAAGATGTCTTTTTTGTCACCCATATATTCATTAGTCCATCTGGCAAACACTCATTGGTGGCCTATTGCGTGCAAAGCTTTGTGTTTGGGGAAATAGAAAACACCAAGATGAATCAGACCCTTAAGCAGTTGTGTATAAACCTATTATTATTAAGGAAACTAGGATGTGAAGGTAAAGATAAATTTGAACATATAGTAGAGGGTTGGCAATGCCATTATTAAAGGTGTCAGAGAAGGGATAGATGCTTCTGGTGGGCTACTTGGAAGGGTTCTTAAAAAATGTGACATTAGAGCAGATATTTGAACTTCAGAGACTGTACTGATAGCATCATCCCCAGAAAGACCTCTCTGTGCATAGGATCATACTTGGTGTTTTTATTCATTCATTCATTCATTCATTATAATCTTTCACTCACTTATTCATATATTGGTGAAGAGTATATCAAGGATCTAGACTTAGACTGTTTAAGTTTATTTCCAGGCCCAACTATATATAGCTGTGTAATCTGCTGCAAATTACATGAACCTATACATCAGCTTCCTCATCTAGAACTGGGATAACAAAAGTATGTATTAATCATCTAGAGTTGCTAATACATGTACAATGCTTACACAAAATGAGCATTCAATAAATACTGCCTATCACAGTTAGGATGTCATTATTATACTACTTTTACTACTTAAACAACCATTTATTGATCAGCACCATGTGCCAGAACTATGCAAGGCCCTGAAGAAACAGATTGACAATTCCTTTCTTCAAAGAGCTTATGAAGAAGTGGGTGATGTAGAAAAGTAAAACAACTATCAGAAGAGGAAGTAATGGAATAGCTGGTGCAGGTAAACAGATTCTATTGGGAAACAGACAAGAGGCAGCTACGGAAGAGAGAAAGTCTACAAAGGCTTTCCAGAAGAGATGAAGCTTAAGCTGAATCCTTAAGGGTGAAAATTCACTGGAAGACAAGAAAGGCAGTAGATTCCAAGCAGATGTAGATGCCCTGCATCTCCCCTTTGTTCCTTGACACTTTAATTTTGCCAAGCCTGACATCTAGCCACCAGCCCCTGGATCTCTCTGCCTGAAGGCTTTCTCTGGGTTGCTTGAGCCTACTAGAGAAATATCAGGGTATTTACCACCTCCCCACCAAAGAGTATCTTTTATAAATGAGGGACAAGATGTACATATAAGTACTTCAGCTCCCTTGTTTCTCGGGTGGGCTAATTCAGAAGCATGTTATGTACTATGATCTGGAGTCTCCTCCTGCACAATGACAGAAGTGAGCCACCGGTTGTCAGTGCCTTTACAAAAGGTATCAGAGAAGGGACAATGACAACTTGTTTATAGTTTAACCTTACTGCATTCCTTTACTTCCCCATCTCCTTCATAACTGTATAGACAAATTCTTTATACTTTTTCTCTCTCCCCCTCTCTCGATATATATGTGATTATGGAGAGAGAGTACACACACACACACACACACACACACACACACACACACACACACAATCTGCTATTGGTCCTGTTTCTCTGTAGAATCCTGATT